TGATCATGTACCTATCTTTTTGCTAAGAATTGTAAGAGTTCAAAGAGAATTTTTAAAAAAATCTTTAAAATTTCATCTTATACTTGAATTTAATGACTACATTATGATTGGAAATATAAGCAATGGATAGAGAATATTGTCCCTAAAGTCTAGCCTTTATGACTTTTATGTCTTCTTTGACATTATGAACTTCTTTTCTTTAAGTCTTGAACCGTAGTAGTCAAGATTTCTTTTAGATGGAGTGACTTATCACTCATGCTACTTTTAGTTCTGTTAAAGACTTCCTTTTAAGGAATACAGTTAAGACAAACTAAGTCTCTTTTCTTCTGGATTTATCTCTAAATATTATTCAATAGCTTTTCTTTTAGAATTTGGATCTTGAATTTTATCTATAAGATCAAGAATAAATATTTGTGACTTATTCAAAGTATTTATACTTAATCCATTTATAACTAAAATAGCTTTATAATAATTGTTTTCTACTTTACAATGAGAAGAAGAACAAGCTTTATCTTGTTCTAAAAATTTTATTTCTGAAGATGAATTACTAATTTCATTAATATTGTAATCTTCAGAAGAGAAACTATCAGAATTATCTTCTAATTCACTTTTTGAGTTTAGTACAATTTTAAAAATTTTTTCTTTAAGGCCTTTATCAATAATTAATTCATTAATCTGTTGTTTAGTTGAACATTTTGAAGCAATATGACTTTCCTTTCCACACTTAAAACATTTAAGAAGAGGCTTCTTATCTTTTAGTTTTTTAGTGGGTTTATTAATCTTTTCATGTTCCTTAATATAACTCTTTTTATAGAGTTTTCTACTTTTTTTATAAGGCTTAGTGTAAGGTTTTTTTTTACTAGAAATCTTATCTTTTGGAATATCAAAATTATAAACAAATTGATTACAGAATTCTCCAAGTTCTTTTCTGTCAGTTAATCTTTGTCTCTTAAATTGAACTTTAAGATTTAAATCATTACACAGAGCTAATCCTTCTGAAATACATTCAGAAATTAGTTCCCCATAAATATAATTTTTATAAGGGATTTTAAATCCTCCATGTTTTTACTTTAAACAAATTAACTTTATTGAAATAATATATCCTTATGATATTTATGATCCCAAACTAATTAAGGACTACCAAGTTAGTTACTGAAATAATTACCCCACTGACTCTAAATGTTAGATTATTGCGGAATGTCTTAAAGACATAGATAAAGAAGAAGATAAAGTTTCACCCTCTACAGCCATTTTTCCTACTACCAATATAAATACTGGGACTAATTTTAATCCTATTGAAATTCTTAAAGAACTAATTAAAAAAGAAAAATCTCATTTAAATTCTAAGCAGCTTAAAGCGGTAGTTATGGAGGAATTCTATCTTCAGGTTATGTCTATATTCGGAATGGGCAAAATCGAAAAGATGGATTTTGTTAATACTCCTTCAGTTGCCATAACAAGCAAAGGGAAAGATAAAGTTGAGGAAGAAGATAGTAAATCTCCCACTCCTATTAATTCTGATGACGACTTTATGGATTCTCAGGGATATACCCTTCTTAAAGGTGACATTACTATTAATAAAGATTTGCTAAAAGATGATATGAAGATAAACCTTCATGATAACAGCGATAATATGGTGTATAATATGTTTTACAAAAAAATGATCATATAAAGTTGATTTCTCAGATAAAGCCGACCCGAAAGAAGTGATGCACGCCCTGACGTCACTATATGAAGAAGTGGCGCACATCCTGACGTCACTATAAAGACTATAAATAGTGTATAGTATTTATAACGTATGCAATGACGTCATTGTAAATTATTAAAATTGTAAACAGTATAAAGTTGTGAATAGTATAGGATAGTTATGAAATTCAGATTTCATGTCCGGCTCTATATAAAGAGATGTAGACCTGACTTGTGGAGCACCGCATCCCAGACCTTCTCTACCTACTCCTTCCTTCCTTCCTCTCTTGCACCCTTTGTGAACCCTCCTCTCTGGTAAAAATTTTTTATCTTCCATCTTCCACCACTACTACTGTAAGTGTGTCTTGTACATAAAATTTGCATTAAATAAAAGCTTTTGCTTATATTTTACGCTTGTATCCCGATTCTTCCCCCTTGTTGGTATCAGAGTCATTTGTATTAAACAGTAACATACTCAACTCAAACAGTAACACGCTCAACAAAAAAATAATACCATCAAACAATAACACACTCAACAAAAAAATAACAACATCAAACAGTAATATGTTCAACAAAAAAATAGTAACATCAAACAGTAACATATTTAATAAAAATTTAATCATTGTAATAAAGTGATACCCCCACAACAGAATAAATATTTACATATGGTGTCACTCTATTGTAATGATTAAATTTTTAATTAAGTTTTTTATTGAGCATATTACTGTTTGATATTACCATTTTTTTTTGTTGAGCGTATTACTGTTTAATATTACTATATATATACATGTATGTGTGTGTGTGTGTGTGTGTAAGATAAAAAAATAATTTTAATGTTAGCTTAAATTTCAAGTTAAGAGTTGTTATATTTGATAACATTGAAACTAATAATGACAGACAATATTTATAGTAAGGATAATTATGGAATACATTTCAAAAAGAATTTAAAATGTTTTAAAATGTATATTTATTGACAACTATTTAATAAAAAAAAAGTACTTAATAGAGTATAAGTTTATAGGTAGTACTTAAAGTCAAATAAGTTTTACAAAAAATACTCGCAACCAATTTTCCGTTATTTTGACTAGTTGCTTGGACTTGGTGGGCCTCCCAAATGGCTCAACCCAACTCTAAATAGTGTTGCAACAAAATATTTAGGCTCAAGACTTAATATCCTGGGCAAGATTGCTAAGGANGATGTTGTTTTCTTAGTTGAGTTTGTGGCAAAATCTAAGCTTTGGTTATGAGTATATATATGCTGTGTGGGTGTACAAAATTGCGATAGTTGTTATGGATTTTTATGTATTTTGTTGTCTTTTTTATTTTGGCGAGGGCTTTTGGATGTCCCTATGCAGAGAATCTTCCTTCTTGTTGTCCAATGACGGCCTTGAGTTTCTCTTCATTTGTCATATAGGTCAAATTACACTTTACCTGCTTAAATTATCATCCCAATCTCCCAACAGGTATGATTCAAATGCCCCTGAATCACATACACATCTGTTTTTCAAGCAGTGTTGCATTTGCCATTCTGTCTGTTTGGCCTCTTGATCTCTTTTCCAGCCGGAAATCTTTTGTAGACTTTAGAGTTTAAAATAAAAATGAGCTAGAATATGTTTACCACTTGCTGTCCAATTAGAGGTTTGGAAGTGATAATGCATGCACTGATGCACTTGAGGTCATCGTTCTTTTAATTAATTTTTGAGAATTCAAGAAATGTATATGAGATTGTAGAAAATAGGACGCATATTGATTGCCTATGTTTTAGCTGTGATTGCATGTGGAAATAGTTTTTTAGTGCATCACCTGACTGCTATTGAATTCTTGATTATTCTTAGGAAGGATCGAAGAGTCCAATTTCATTAGTAAGTGTTTGAGTTTTTATTTATATTATTGTATATATGTTTATGAGTTTATATTTGTATTTTGTTCGTCGTATGAATGCTTAGCTTAGCCCGGGATAAACAAAAATCTTGGATCCGCCCTTGCATGTCTACAAATATATCACTGTCAAGGCATATATGAAACAAAGGAGACTAGAAACTATGATCAAGTTCTGCAGATTGTACCCAGCCTCATCTCGGAAAATATGAACACAACCCTGATAAGAGCTCCTACCATGGAAGAAATAAAAACAGCAGTCTTCAGTCTTGGTGCAATCAAAGCCCTAGGACCAGATGGGCTCCCCAGGTTATTTTACGAGAAGTACTGATCTGTTGTTCAAGCTGATTTGGTCAGTGCAGTCCACTGCTTTTTCAAAACTAGGTTCTTACTTAAAGAGCTCAATGAGACCAATGTTTCACTGGTCCCACATCCCGAACAGATTGGAGAATTCAGACCCATAAGTTGCTGTAATTTCGCGTACAAAGTAATTTCCAAAATCGTGGCCTCTAGACTNCCTTACCATGCAATTGAACAATTAGTCCCTCATGCACTGATCCTGTATTACTACATGTACCTTCATCTGGCAATACACGATCAATTCTAGTGTTACCGAACCAGAGTTCGAGGGCAGCCGAGCCATAGCCATGAAGAGCTAAGTCCGAGCTAATATCATTGGGTTTCCACCAAAGGATGTCTCTCAGGAATTTCATCAAATGTTCGAGCTAATATCATTGGGATTACATAGCCAGATATCATTTCATTCCGGCATTTCCTCAAAGCTAATATCCTTGAGTTTCCACGAGACAACGGGTCTCCGGACTTTCATCATTTAATAGAGTAGTTTAATCATTTTTTAATTCTTATATCCGAATATTAATATCTACCTAATAAAACAAAACATAAAACACGACCGCAATGCAAATCATTTAAAGTTACAATCCAACAACTAATCTTACAACTTATATTTTAAATACAATGAACATTTTAACCTTGCTCACACTTCAACCATTGGCTTACATCATTGATACCGGGATCACATATACCCCTAGCATCCCACAAACCGAAGTCACACAACCCAAAATGAAGTGAGTTTCGCGATTCAAATCGCTCAAAGTCCTTAATCCCAAATTATAACTCAAATCGCAAATGGATTCATAATCCAAATAATCTCACACCGTCATAACCCTAACTCCAAAACATAACTCTATCATGTTATTTCTTTATTGTTGGCATTTTTTAAACTCATTTTGGCAGCATTTATTAGAAACATAAAATAAATATTTATTAATTACATGTCTACAGGGGGCGAAGGTATTAGTGGGCTGTGGTGTGCTGAAGCCCAGGGTAGAAAAAAAAAAATTATTAGAGCCAACCCAGCCTGTGACAGGCCTCTGGTTTTCCAGAGTAATGTCAAAACCCATGTATTTAACTATATGGGGAGAGCTAAGCTGAGAAAGAAAGTGTTTTTCTTTTTGCAAGAAGCTGGAGGTGGAACGCTCAGTGGACTTGACAGCGAAGAGCTGGCCGGAGGTGATGGTGGCAAGAGAGATGGTGACGGAGGAGCCCCGGCCTATGGTGGGACCCCTAGTCCACTCCATTGGAGAGATCAAGGAGGAAAATTGGAAGGTTGAAGGTGGGTTTGATGTTGTTTTCTTAGTTGAGTTTGTGGCAAAATCTAAGCTTTGGTTATGAGTATATATATGCTGTGTGGGTGTACAAAATTGCGATAGTTGTTATGGATTTTTATGTATTTTGTTGTCTTTTTTATTTTGGCGAGGGCTTTTGGATGTCCCTATGCAGAGAATCTTCCTTCTTGTTGTCCAATGACGGCCTTGAGTTTCTCTTCATTTGTCATATAGGTCAAATTACACTTTACCTGCTTAAATTATCATCCCAATCTCCCAACAGGTATGATTCAAATGCCCCTGAATCACATACACATCTGTTTTTCAAGCAGTGTTGCATTTGCCATTCTGTCTGTTTGGCCTCTTGATCTCTTTTCCAGCCGGAAATCTTTTGTAGACTTTAGAGTTTAAAATAAAAATGAGCTAGAATATGTTTACCACTTGCTGTCCAATTAGAGGTTTGGAAGTGATAATGCATGCACTGATGCACTTGAGGTCATCGTTCTTTTAATTAATTTTTGAGAATTCAAGAAATGTATATGAGATTGTAGAAAATAGGACGCATATTGATTGCCTATGTTTTAGCTGTGATTGCATGTGGAAATAGTTTTTTAGTACATCACCTGACTGCTATTGAATTCTTGATTATTCTTAGGAAGGATCGAAGAGTCCAATTTCATTAGTAAGTGTTTGAGTTTTTATTTATATTATTGTATATATGTTTATGAGTTTATATTTGTATTTTGTTCGTCGTATGAATGCTTAGCTTAGCCCGGGATAAACAAAAATCTTGGATCCGCCCTTGCATGTCTACAAATATATCACTGTCAAGGCATATATGAAACAAAGGAGACTAGAAACTATGATCAAGTTCTGCAGATTGTACCCAGCCTCATCTCGGAAAATATGAACACAACCCTGATAAGAGCTCCTACCATGGAAGAAATAAAAACAGCAGTCTTCAGTCTTGGTGCAATCAAAGCCCTAGGACCAGATGGGCTCCCCAGGTTATTTTACGAGAAGTACTGATCTGTTGTTCAAGCTGATTTGGTCAGTGCAGTCCACTGCTTTTTCAAAACTGGGTTCTTACTTAAAGAGCTCAATGAGACCAATGTTTCACTGGTCCCACATCCCGAACAGATTGGAGAATTCAGACCCAGAAGTTGCTGTAATTTCGCGTACAAAGTAATTTCCAAAATCCTGGCCACTAGACTAAAGCCTATTCTGGAACAAATTATATCTCATAGCCAAAGTGCCTTCATTGGGGGGAGGCAAATTCAGGACAACATAATAGTTGCTCAGGAGGTGATGCATTCTATGAGGCAGAGAAGGAAGTATCAGATGACAATCAAACTGGATATGGTCAAGGCATATGACGAGTGAGGCTTCCTAAAAGATCTCATGTTGAAAATGGGTTTTGACAGGAAATGGGTAAGAATGATAATGCAATACATTGAGACCGTTATAATATTATGGTGAATGGAGACAGAGCGGTCAAGATTACTCCCTCCCGGGGTATTAGACAAGGGGACCCCCTTTCATTCTATTTGTTCATTCTCATCACCGAATGTCTAACTCTTCTGATCAANCGAAGTCACACAACCCAAAATGAAGTGAGTTTCGCGATTCAAATCGCTCAAAGTCCTTAATCCCAAATTATAACTCAAATCGCAAATGGATTCATAATCCAAATAATCTCACACCGTCATAACCCTAACTCCAAAACATAACTCTATCATGTTATTTCTTTATTGTTGGCATTTTTTAAACTCATTTTGGCAGCATTTATTAGAAACATAAAATAAATATTTATTAATTACATGTCTACAGGGGGCGAAGGTATTAGTGGGCTGTGGTGTGCTGAAGCCCAGGGTAGAAAAAAAAAAATTATTAGAGCCAACCCAGCCTGTGACAGGCCTCTGGTTTTCCAGAGTAATGTCAAAACCCATGTATTTAACTATATGGGGAGAGCTAAGCTGAGAAAGAAAGTGTTTTTCTTTTTGCAAGAAGCTGGAGGTGGAACGCTCAGTGGACTTGACAGCGAAGAGCTGGCCGGAGGTGATGGTGGCAAGAGAGATGGTGACGGAGGAGCCCCGGCCTATGGTGGGACCCCTAGTCCACTCCATTGGAGAGATCAAGGAGGAAAATTGGAAGGTTGAAGGTGGGTTTGATGTTGTTTTCTTAGTTGAGTTTGTGGCAAAATCTAAGCTTTGGTTATGAGTATATATATGCTGTGTGGGTGTACAAAATTGCGATAGTTGTTATGGATTTTTATGTATTTTGTTGTCTTTTTTATTTTGGCGAGGGCTTTTGGATGTCCCTATGCAGAGAATCTTCCTTCTTGTTGTCCAATGACGGCCTTGAGTTTCTCTTCATTTGTCATATAGGTCAAATTACACTTTACCTGCTTAAATTATCATCCCAATCTCCCAACAGGTATGATTCAAATGCCCCTGAATCACATACACATCTGTTTTTCAAGCAGTGTTGCATTTGCCATTCTGTCTGTTTGGCCTCTTGATCTCTTTTCCAGCCGGAAATCTTTTGTAGACTTTAGAGTTTAAAATAAAAATGAGCTAGAATATGTTTACCACTTGCTGTCCAATTAGAGGTTTGGAAGTGATAATGCATGCACTGATGCACTTGAGGTCATCGTTCTTTTAATTAATTTTTGAGAATTCAAGAAATGTATATGAGATTGTAGAAAATAGGACGCATATTGATTGCCTATGTTTTAGCTGTGATTGCATGTGGAAATAGTTTTTTAGTACATCACCTGACTGCTATTGAATTCTTGATTATTCTTAGGAAGGATCGAAGAGTCCAATTTCATTAGTAAGTGTTTGAGTTTTTATTTATATTATTGTATATATGTTTATGAGTTTATATTTGTATTTTGTTCGTCGTATGAATGCTTAGCTTAGCCCGGGATAAACAAAAATCTTGGATCCGCCCTTGCATGTCTACAAATATATCACTGTCAAGGCATATATGAAACAAAGGAGACTAGAAACTATGATCAAGTTCTGCAGATTGTACCCAGCCTCATCTCGGAAAATATGAACACAACCCTGATAAGAGCTCCTACCATGGAAGAAATAAAAACAGCAGTCTTCAGTCTTGGTGCAATCAAAGCCCTAGGACCAGATGGGCTCCCCAGGTTATTTTACGAGAAGTACTGATCTGTTGTTCAAGCTGATTTGGTCAGTGCAGTCCACTGCTTTTTCAAAACTAGGTTCTTACTTAAAGAGCTCAATGAGACCAATGTTTCACTGGTCCCACATCCCGAACAGATTGGAGAATTCAGACCCATAAGTTGCTGTAATTTCGCGTACAAAGTAATTTCCAAAATCGTGGCCTCTAGACTAAAGCCTATTCTGGAACAAATTATATCTCATAGCCAAAGTGCCTTCATTGGGGGGAGGCAAATTCAGGACAACATAATAGTTGCTCAGGAGGTGATGCATTCTATGAGGCAGAGAAGGAAGTATCAGATGACAATCAAACTGGATATGGTCAAGGCATATGACGAGTGAGGCTTCCTAAAAGATCTCATGTTGAAAATGGGTTTTGACAGGAAATGGGTAAGAATGATAATGCAATACATTGAGACCATTATAATATTATGGTGAATGGAGACAGAGCGGTCAAGATTACTCCCTCCCGGGGTATTAGACAAGGGGACCCCCTTTCATTCTATTTGTTCATTCTCATCACCGAATGTCTAACTCTTCTGATCAATTAAGCAACGGAAGGAGGAACTCTAAAGGGGATCAAACTCAGCAGGTCAGGTCCCATTGTATCTCACTTATTATTTGCTGACAATTCTNTGATCAATTAAGCAACGGAAGGAGGAACTCTAAAGGGGATCAAACTCAGCAGGTCAGGTCCTATTGTATCTCACTTATTATTTGCTGACGATTGTATTTTTTTCTCCATGACCTCTAAAGCAAACTGTCAAGCCTTCATGGACATCTTGAATAGATATTGCTAAGCAACAGATCAACAAGTTCCCCTCGAACAAATCTATTATCATCTTTAGCCGCAACACACTGCCTCTCCAGCAGAAACTAGCACAGATCCTCAGAATTACACAATCACAAAGAGCAAGGAAATACTTGGGGCTTCCAATGGAGTGGNGTATTTAACTATATGGGGAGAGCTAAGCTGAGAAAGAAAGTGTTTTTCTTTTTGCAAGAAGCTGGAGGTGGAACGCTCAGTGGACTTGACAGCGAAGAGCTGGCCGGAGGTGATGGTGGCAAGAGAGATGNAAAATTGCAGGGTGGAAGGAGTGCTTCTTGAACCATGCAAGCAGAGAGGTGTTAAACAAGTCTATAGTGCAAGCCATTCCAGCATACGCTATGACAATCTTTAAATTTCCAAAGACCTTCTGTCAAGAGATTAATGCAAGCTCAAGAGATTTTGGTGGAACAAAACAACAGGGCAAAAGGGAATTCACCAAAAAAAACTGGGATCAACTCGCGAGGCAAAATGGAGGGGAGATTAGGCTTTAGAGACCTAGAAGATTTTAATATGGCCATTAAGAACCCAGATGCCCTGTGGGTTAGGGTTTACAAGCAAAGTATTGTCAAGGAAAGTCGATATGGGAGGCCACTAATAAATCATCAAACTCATGGGTGTGGAATAGTCTACTTGAGGGAAAAAAAGGCCTTTGCAAAAGGATGTATTTGGAAGATTGGACATGCAAATGAAATTAGACGCTGGGAGGCCTCATGGGTTCCAGGCCACCCCCTCATTCAGAGTGTGACGCAGAGCAGCATTATAAGGGTTCAAGAGCTTATCAAGCAGTCCCATAGAACATGGAACTCTAACCTTGTTCGCGCAATCTTTGCACCAGAAATTGCAAGGAAGATTTTGGTCATTCCTCTAGCAGAAACAACACAGCAGGATGTTATCAGGTGGTTCCATACCAAGTCAGGCAAGTATACAGAGAGAAGTGGCTATCACGTGCTAAGGCAATCCACAACCCCCCCCCCCCC